TCCCCCAGCTTAGTACATTATTTCATTAGGGGAAAAGGAAAAAAAAAATTAAATCAGCCTTAATTTCTAGAAATACTTTCTAAATTATTTATAAATTGTAATGAAAGGGATAAACATGTAAATGAAATAACATGTACAGCAAATGGACTCCGATAGCTCCATCAGAGGAAGACCTGAGGCAACAGGCAGCACCTGAGAGAAGGCAGCCAAGGCAACAGTAAGCAAGTTCATCCTACTGCAGAGTACTGCTCTGCAGCTTTTACACAGAACGTCTCTTTCTAAAAACAGAGTCATGACGTTGGTACTAACCTGTTTAGAGCCTACTGATCTGTGCAACGGTGTCAATACACAGATTTCCACCAGGAGCACAGGAACTTGCTGCCACTTTTTACCTATGGCAGATATGCGCTCCCCAGCAAAGAACGAGCTGGGAATTGATTTAAACTAACTGCACTGGGAAATTGTTGAAGTCCACAGGAATTCAATAGCCACCTCCAGGACTTAGGTGGTAAGGAGGGTGGCATTTGTTGAATATGTATCAGTTTCCTGAAGTGGAGGTTCTTTGTCAGTTTATCGGTCCCCACTGGGAGCTGCGGTCACAAGGACGTTAGAGCATTCCTACCAAGGGAGCTGTATTTCAACACTACTAAGATAACAAATGCAAACTGTCGGATGCCAAAGTTTGGAGGCTGGTTTAAAGGCTTGTTTACTCTGGAATTTGGTTCCAGCTCCCAAGCAAGCAGACCTCCCACTGGCAGATACTGATAAATGAGAGATACAGAGCACTAGGCACCGTTGACTTGTAGACAGGGTGGGCTGGATGCAGTAAATCCCCAAGTTACTAATTACCAAATTCTGAGGCAGCATGCCTAATTTAGTCCACGTATTTCCTGTTTCTCTTATTTCTCCTTAGTTCGTTCTCGGCATCCACGACCAGAGCTACTTTCACATGCAGGCTGCCAAGCCAGGGTCTCTGCACAGCCATTTTTCTCTTCCTATTCTCAAATACCAACAAATATAGACAGAGACGTGGTTAAATTCCATCCCTAAGATGCAAGTAACAGAGGTTGCATTCCTAGAAATACTAGTCAGTCAAGCATCACTCAGTACCCTGTTATTCTCTGTGATCACACATCAGTCCCTGCCCAAGGGCCAGCAGTCCACTTCAGGGATAGACAAATACAGACTGACAAAGACAAGTAGCCGTACAAGCCAGGAAGGGCTTATAGAACTTTGCTGAGTTCTCTTAGGTATCAAAAGGGCATTTTTTTTAAAAGGCTTTAAGGAAGAATGAGACTCTTTTGGTTAGCCCACTGCAGCTGATGAATTAAATCAGCACCAGATAACAAAACATCAAGACACTTACGGAGAAAAGTTATTTTTCTCTTCAGCACATAACACTGACACCTGCTTTCTCAACACCTCAGTTACTTTATACTCCAGCAGCAATATCTCACTCTGTGGCAAATGTTGCATCATTTCTATTCTGCTGGGGATGCCAGATCCACAACTCAAAACTGTCTCCAGCCAAGTTCAACTAATAGAGTGCTTCATCCCACACGCTGCATGCACAGAAGTATAATCACTAGAGAACAGGACATACTTTCATGTACACCAATGTGTTTAGCATATTATTTTGTGTCTTTATGCATATTAAATTACACCTTTTATTATGCACTGATTTTCTATTCGTAAGTATTCTGCAAATAAACACAGGGGTGCATGCACAACAGTCACTTCCTAGGTCCCCCATAAGGAAAAGACCAGCAAGTCACTGCTGGACCTAGAAAGTGAGCAGCAGAAGATGCATTCTCCCCTACCACAACTTGGTCTCAAAACAAAACTCTGGTATCCTTGCCATGGGGTTAAACTCTTCCTCATTTCCATCTCGTTGCCTGGACCAAGACACCACCACTTCACCCAAGTTACCTAGTTCTGCATTTGATTCTGTACATGCTCCAATTCCACTGTCCCTTTTCACATCAAATGCACAGAAGTTGGCGGAGAAGAAGCTCACTGACTAACCTTCTAGCTTTATTTTCTCCAAATCACTGACATTTGATTCGTGTGGATTAGAGAGGAAGAAAAACAAAAGGCTTAAGCATCCGCAAGGCAGCACTTAAACCAGATCTCATTGATTTTTCTTTGTTTAAACTGTTTTGTCTTAAAATGAACCCTTTGATCTACCTCCTGCCTAGGTTCTGATCATCTCCTGATAGAAACTGAACCTTATTCACACACGTGCAGTACTGAGACACAGTTCACCCCTGCAGCACGTTCACATACCAAGGGTAAATTGCTGCTCAGTTACTGTGCAAGACACAGAAAATACACACTGGTTGCTAACAGGAGGACATCAGACATACTATTAACTGCCGCAAAATTAACTCAAAGGTCTTAGGAAAAATATTTCCAAGTTTAATAACAAAGATTTCATGCTAAAGACCAGTTGCATTCATTGCCAGTCACAATCTCTTTTGGGTATACGTATCATGAAATCTACAGTACAAAAACGGGAGCGGTGCAGCCTCTTTGCTCTTGGCTGCAGTTGGGACAGCAGCACTTACAGGCTTGGAGATTTCATTTCACAGGTGACTTTCTGTGCGCAGTTGGGCTGGACAGCAGCTGAGAGAGACCACAAGCAGCTACCAGCGCACAGCTTCCCAGGTGGACACAGTGCGAATGCTGCACCCGCTCAGAATGGGGCCGGACCTGTCTCGGACCCTGGCAGAGCAAACGAACCTCTAATAACAGTAAGTACAGGCATAAAACTACACCTATCGAGATTGTCTGTTTCAGCTTTTTCCCCCAAAGTAGTTACTCTGAAATTGCAAAACTTCATACATTTGCTGTTTCAGCAGTGAAACACTAATGACTTGAAATGATGCTTCAGCCTGAAGCTGTTTCATATTTCTGCTTAATAAGGCAAGGAACAGCATTATTTTAGCATTCCTTGTTTTTCAGTTTTCATATCTTTAGTTTTCTGGACTCCAGGCTGATTCCACTCTTCCTTTACAAGGGGGAAGCCCATTTAAAACACTTTGTCATGGAATTTCACCTAAAATATTTTACCCTGCTGCACTTAGAGCATGTAAGCTCTATGGCAGTTTCAGCTGGCACAAGACAGGAAACTGTTAGATGGGCATTTCTCTTGGCTAATCCAGAAGCTCTCAGACACTGATCACAGTATTTCAAAACTTATTTTTGCTTCTGGTGTCACGCACCTGCAAAACCAACCGAAGGACCACCGCTGCAATGAAAACTTGTCTCTTCTGCTGGAGGGCGAACGTTGGCAGCTTGCAGTACAGAGCAGGGAAGCACAGGAACTTACATCCAGAATTTTAAAGAGGTTCCTTTTATACGTAATTAAATTCTGTGCACACTTGTCCAGCTTTCTTGAGGCAGAGGCGTGTTTACTCTGCCTTCGCTGTACAGCAGAAGCAATGCATCTGTAGTGCAGACCCAGCTCCAGCCAGCACGCTGTGCAGAGAAGCAGAACTCTCTTGTTTGTACCCTGCTACTGCAGCGACTGGTCCAGCAGTCGCTGACTGATTCTGTCTACAATTGCGATGAGATTCTGTCTCCAACAATGATTGCCAACTTGTGAGTAGCCATGCACACGCAAGAGGACATTCTCAATCATCTCATGCTCTCAGAAAGCCATGCAGCATTACAACAAAGCAAGCCTGGAGAGCAAAGACCAACACAGTGTGCTTTTTATATTAAATTCAGCTCCTCTTAAGGGTCTCACCCAGGAAGATAAAACCAATGCTTGATTTTGAGAGTCTTCTATCCAAGTCACATTATGGATTCTAAGTTGCAATAGACTTACGGCTAACTTTGTGTGCCAAATACATTTTTTCTCGTGTAACTTCCCATATTTAAAGGCTATCGTTACCTAATTCAGCTTTTGTCTTTCAGAACACTAATTTTTAGAGTTTTCTTACTTCATGTTAGTACTACTAGTCCATGTTAGTACTACCAGTCCATTTTATTAAGCTCTAGCACCTCACCCCATACCTAGAAGGACAACTTTAGGAACTAAGCCAGTACTCTATTCACAGCTCTAAACACAATCCCTTTATCTACAGTAGGACTCACTAGTTATTGTATGGTGTTATCTGTTCATGTTCTCGCATGCAGATATCCTTACCTAAGAAAGGCTGAATCCACAGAAGATTTTGCTTGGTATACACTAGTTCCAGCCATATACCAACCCTCAACCAACCACCTAGCCCTCAAACCTATCCTGTGATGAATTCACACAGTATTTCACTTGCACTGGGGCACAATTTTCTCCGTGATTTGAAACAGTTACTTTTGAATTCAAGAGCTTACAAACAATGTTTCCATAATTTGTCTGCTCAGCAGGCCAAAAAAAAAAAGGCGGAAAAATCCAGACATAATAGCAATCCAGAATATCAGAAACCAACCCATTTTTCACTTCCTTAAGTCATTTAGGATTCAGCCATTTGAATTTTCCTGGAGCTCAGGGAAACTTTCTGGCCAGAGCACTCCTGCTGTCCTACAGCTGAAAGGGTACACCTACAAAACGACAAGTTCACCTAGGACAGCTCCAGAGATAAACATCCCCATGAAAGCACAAGGAGATTATTATTATTAGAATCCATTTGTCCAAGAAAATTCGAGCATTCATGCCAACAGATTTTTTCCATGATCACAATGCACTCACGATGTTCAATGCAAACAGCCATGAGGCCACCTCCTTGTCGACTTTTCTTGACAGTTATTCCCAGGTACTACCAGCTGCAGAAGACAGCTGCCTCCTTCTCCCACTGAACTGCAAGAAGACTGGATTTTCTGCAGTCCTATCACTTCTGGTGAGCACAGGATGTGATTTTCTGTAGCAGCATTGTTACCAACGAGGCTACGATAAAAATTGTTTCCTTACACTGCCACTGAACTTCCACTGCATTATCATTAGACTGGAGCAATGGGATATGCCAAGATCTAATTCAATAACAGAAAACTAAAAGCTCAGGCTATTCACAGTGTATCCACAAACATGAACTGTTTCTAGTCCAACCACATATAATTTAGAGGTCACATAGAACAGCCAAGTACTAAGGATAAATCTGTGAAAGCACTTTATATGCTCCATGCTTTTCCCCCCATACCCAAATCTTTTGTGTGGGCTAACAACCTAAAAGAAACCATCTGAAAGACATCAGACCAGAATCTTAATGATACTATATCTGCAAGATATAGAACAGAAATATGCACATATTCCTTTCCTCCTCATAAATCCTAAAGCATGGGCAATCGTAAAACATTCCAGCATTGTCTGGGTGATCCTGCTCTGGCAGGGGGATTGGACGGGATGAGCTTTCGAGGTCCCTTCCAACTCCTAACATTCTGTGATTCTCAGTAACGCACAGGCAGCCAGCTGCTCGACACCTCAGAACAGTTTTCTCCACATAGACTAGTCTATAACCACTTGCCAATTTACACAATCCACGGATCTCATCCCCGAGCTAAGGCTTAGCTTACCTCACCAAGTGACTAATGCTATCATGTTCAAGACAACTGCCCATGAGAAACTAGGGTATTAGAATTAGTGAACTTCCATTAGAAAAATTCACTATACAGGAATAATCAGTGGAAAAAGCTTACGAAGTACAATAGTTAGATACATTTTCTTAAAGCAACTGAGGACATTTTTTCATAAAGGCATGGAAGTGGCTGTATTTAAGTCAATCCTAATTAATTTTCATCACCTAGTTAAACAACAATTTTATTGAACTACAGTATATAAAGTTATTTTACAAAACCAGTAATGAAAACAGCACTAGTCATGTACCAGCCTTTACGCTCACATTCAACAAAAAGTTGTTAGTTGTCAGAAACCTAACAGGCATCTCAAAAAGAAGACATAGTCACTAGCTTTTTAAGACCTTATTTGAAAGGGAACCCATAGGAAAAATAACCAGACTCCAAAAGAGAGAAAAAGCCATCCAGAGCTTTCAGGGAAGAGAAGGCCCAAGCCCAGAAGTGCGATGCTCCTGCCCGCCCGAGGATAGCCGAGGAGCTGCCCACTGCCCAGCCACCTCTTCTCCCAGGTGGAGCCACAGGTGACACAGACCGATGCCCACGGGTGATGCTGGTTAAGGAAAAAGTAGTTTCTTCCCTTTTTCTGTGTAGGGCAAGGGCAGAAGAAGAAAGGCTGTTACCCAGCAGGAGGAAAGAGAAAATCCACTGCAGCACGGCGACTGTCTGGATCCTCCTCTGTAAGGGGATGTTGATGGGGGCAAACTGGACCTTCATGCTGGCGGCAGGTGAGCAGCGCGGGCAGACCGGACCCACCCGCTCCGGTCACA